GTAACTTACATGCAGCAAAGTTTCAGGAGTGACATATTCCACATCCCTCATATAAATACGGGATTTTCTTTTTTTGAAATCGCTTGTTTACAATCAGGGTTAGTTGCTTAGCCTATATCCACCGCCTCAATGGCAGGCAAGTATTTAAATTTAGTTTAAAAATCGCTCCTCTTCATAACATATGGATCACGTCCAACATATGTTGTGATTATAAATACCTTTGTATGATTGTAAAGCGCGTTGGGTGTACAGCAATACGATGAAAGCGCTATATTAAAAAATGCCTCATGCCAAAAAAAGTACAGTACGGACTTTCCTCCATCTCATCCGTTCTGCTTTTTTTGGCTGTAGGTCCTGCTAGCAGCACGTAAAACAAAACTTTTATTCAAATTCTGAATTGATTATAACCTAGAAAGCGAGCAAATAGCGCTTCCATATAATCACTAAAAAGCTGTCACTCACTTCAATTTATCGCAATCTCACGATGTTCCTCTATAATCAGTGAAGCTTTCTGAATGGCAAATAATATCTTATTTACATCGTGTCTACGTGTGGCGTTTAGCACTGAGTGAATTCTGAATGCATGAGAGGTGGCAGCCCAAACTATTTATATCTTTATTAATATCTTAATATATTATTATATCTTATATTAGCCATTTGCACACACGAGCATTATCCGGCTCCGCTCCTCCCGACCACAGACGCAGGTTTACAAGCCACTTTTTCCTGTGTTTTTCAACCAATTTCTTGACTTTTCCCCACTTATGAACAACACATTTTCGTACACGATAAAAGCTCATTGTGGCATCCATAAACAACGCAAAACACAGGCATTTTGAGTTTCTGCTAGTGATTCCTATGGAGAAAAATCACTTCTTGCCCTCCAGCTGCATTTCACAAATCATCAGTGACGTCATGTGCAAACAACCTATAAAATACAAGGCAAAAGTTCATTGAGTTGATTCTATTCTGAGCTCAGAGAGGAAAAGACATTTGAAAGGTAATACAGAGACAAAAGTCAGAGTTACTGTAGCATTTTAATCATGGAGTCTCATGAGTTTTACAGTAGATTCTGAAATACCAGCATGAGTGTATTCTCTCCCACATAGGAGGAAGACAGATGGGAGGTGGGCAGAGTGTTTGCCGAGACTGTGAAACTCAGGAGAGATGAGACAGAGGTTTAGCAGTGGACTGAGATAACACAAAGCCCTGGGCAAAGATCTTTCTCACATGCACGTGTACTTAACATCCTACCCAAAGAAATTCTCTCTCTTCAGAGAATTCACACTGAAACTATGTTTCCATGCTTACACACACCCTCACTGAGGAAGTACAGTGAATCGGTCTGTCTCAAGGGAGACTTGTAGACTCCAACCTCAGTACTGTGCAGACAGAGTAATCTATCAGTCAGTCTTGTTAACTTATGGTGCTCAGCCGTACCGAGCCGAGTCGTACCACGCAGTGGAAAAGTGCCATTACTAAGCTAGGATGGCCCACTACACTAGCTGTTTTTGCAAAAACTTTTTTTTTGTTGTTCCAAAATCAGACTACGTCTCACACATAAATAGCACATACATTAAGAAGGTACGGTTACTTCACTAACGCCATCTTGATTCAGTCTATTTATGTTTGTGTGCTACTCCTGTCCTTATTTAGACAAGCTTCTCATTGATCTGTTGCCAAAACAGGAAGTTGAAATGTGACAGGAAAATGTGAGTGAGAGGCAATCGTTTAGTCAAATCTAAATCAGTCAGTGCAATCTAAACAGAAGAGGATGATATTTTAAGGGGGGGGGGGAGACAGTCCTCAGGTATGACATCCTCTACACACAGCTGTTTTGAGTCAACTAGTGGGACTAGCACTAATATAGCATGGCACCAATTTCTCGAAAAAATAAATATTAAAAAAATTGCAAAAAACTATATATTTAAAAAAGATGGCAAAGCTGAATTTTCAGCAGTCATTACTCCAGTCTTCAGTGTCATCAAATCATAAAAAAGAATAATCTGCATCATTATATCATTATCTGTAGTTTAAAAAAAAGTTTTTTTAAACGCATGTCTGGTCACGCAGATGCTTTGAGAACCATCTAGCTTCTGCAGTGGAAACGCAAACCGTGCCGAGCCGAACCATGCCGTGCCGTACTGAGCCGTACCGAGCCGAGTCGTACCACGCAGTGGAAAAGTGCCATTACTAAGCTAGGATGGCCCACTACACTAGCTGTTTTTGCAAAAACTTTTTTTTTGTTGTTCCAAAATCAGACTACGTCTCACACATAAATAGCACATACATTAAGAAGGTACGGTTACTTCACTAACGCCATCTTGATTCAGTCTATTTATGTTTGTGTGCTACTCCTGTCCTTATTTAGACAAGCTTCTCATTGATCTGTTGCCAAAACAGGAAGTTGAAATGTGACAGGAAAATGTGAGTGAGAGGCAATCGTTTAGTCAAATCTAAATCAGTCAGTGCAATCTAAACAGAAGAGGATGATATTTTAAGGGGGGGGGGGGGGACAGTCCTCAGGGATGAAATCCTCTACACACAGCTGTTTTGAGTCAACTAGTGGGACTAGCACTAATATAGCATGGCACCAATTTCTCGAAAAAATAAATATTAAAAAAATTGCAAAAAACTATATATTTAAAAAAGATGGCAAAGCTGAATTTTCAGCAGTCATTACTCCAGTCTTCAGTGTCATCAAATCATAAAAAAGAATAATCTGCATCATTATATCATTATCTGTAGTTTAAAAAAAAATTTTTTAAACGCATGTCCGGTCACGCAGATGCTTTGAGAACCATCTAGCTTAAGCTACATGCACGCAGATCAAGACTCACACATTGAAAACACAAGTGTACTGCTATTGAAGCCTCCCTAAGCTGCCATTTAAGGTGAAATCTGTGATCACAGAGAGCACACTACAAAAAGTCAGGTCTTCAAGGTTACTTTATCAAACTGTAATGTACATTACTGTATGATCAGCAGGCCTATCCACAATCTCAGCAAAACACACATGCTGCCCACTCATGGCATTATGTATATGTTACAGCCAAGTAGCACTTCTTCTATTTTCATATCAACAAACAGCTGTATTAGTTACTGTAACCACAAATGTTTAGGAGGTGAGCTGATGGTGTAGACTGTTTATTTTGCATTAGAACATATAGTACTTCCTCTCCAAAGGTCCTGATTAGAGAGTGGTTGATTAAATCAACACAAACCTAGACATTCGGTTTGGTTCATTTCCAGCTGTATGTAATGAATTCAATGCTTATTCATGAGAAAACACTGAATATGTATTCTGAGCTCTGGAAAGGTCACAGCTGATGAATTTTCTACACAATCATCACCTAAAGAGAAAAATTAGTGTTTTACCTTCTGCACTGAGCCCAGGGCTGGATGTGAATTTGGCCACATCCACAATCTTCACGGCAAACTGTTGGCCCGTCTCCCTGTTTATGCATCTTCGTACCACACTAAACGGCCCCCTGGAAAGGAAACAAACAGGCACATTAGAGTCCTGCATATGTTGGGTTTTTCAGTGGCTAATGTTGAAATCGATAAAGACAGGATGAACAATAGCCCATATAATGCTGACATGTGTTGCTATTTAATGATGTTAAATGAGATGTACAAATCTTTAAATTGTTGAAATAAACACTTATTTTATACATTTACTCAAAATTAAAAATGAAATAAAACAGGTAGCATGTTTAGGGATCATAATGATGATGATCCCTAAAAAGTTCAAATTTTGGTTGAGTATTTAGTCTGATTTATCAGTTAATGACTGGTGATCATATATTTTATACAGAGGCCAGCAGAAATAAACAAACTAGTCTACGAGTGGGCAAACAACTATAATTGTCAGTAAAAATCCAGATCTTTCCCAACAGAACAAAAATCATAATCCAACATAACAAGCATGCCTTGACCTCCACACTGATAGTGATTTGTAGCAGGTAAAAGTACCCAATATTCATTCATACAATTATTACAACTGACCATACATGACTCGATAACCACAAGTTGAGTAACAGCGGCTAAAGTAAAAAGCCTGGCCTCTTTCTAGGTATGAAGGAATGCTCACATCAGCAATGAGATTGATGGGACTGTTCTGTGCGGACTGAGTGTTTAAGGAACAGCGGGGAGTTAGAGGCGCTGGCTTTCTGTGAAGAACTGTGATCTGGTTTCCCAAAGCCTTTAACACTTCTCAGCTTGAGCTGAACCCTTTTCTGTATGAACATGAGTGTTTCTGCAGGCCTGAAGAAAGATGGCAGCAGAGAGACCTCTGGAGCAAGCTTTACTTGTTTGTGTGCAATGGGTTGATGTCAGCAGGTCTGTTTTTGTTTCCTTCCTATAGGTTAAGACGATGTACAGACAGATGGTCAGTCATCCCCCCCCCCGACAGATCGTCTGACTGTACATTATCCCACTTATATATGCCTACTTAGGAAATAATACATAAATGGATATGAAAATGAAACATTTATTTCAAAAGAGAGGAACATATTAATTCTCGTAATATGCAAATAAAATAAAAATAAAATAAATCAGACACAAGTTAATTAAATTTACATTAGTAACTTTATCCAAATGTAAATATTAGGACTTAGGACTTAGCTTCAAGCTCGTCACATCAGATCATCTCTTCACAAGAATTTTTTCTCTCTCTCTCTAGAGTGAGTGAAAATGAGCTGGTGTGATATTTACATACTTTAAGCTTAGCGTGGCCACATTTTCAGTCTTGACATTTATTCTATATATTACTACTGGCAAGACGGTAAGAAATTCTCACCCTCCTCCTCAGGTACGCAAGTTACATTTCATTACAGACGACCCAGTTCACTCTGACCCACAGATATCCAGATATAAAAATAGACAGATTTTATGAAATATGTGTTGTCAGAACCTCTCTGTACAGTTCCCAGGTCAGTGTTCCGCAGAGAACACTTTCAGGCTGGCTGCTGTCTTCCTGTCATCCGAGTTCTCTGGCTGAACTGTTAATGAACTGCAGGTGCACTGAACATGTGGAGGACAGAGTTTAAGGGAGAAATGTTTTGGAGAGCAGCAGTGCTACATTGTGTCTAAAACTGAAGACTGAAAAAATGTCTTGTAAGTCTTTACTGTCACTTTAGTTCAATTTAATGCGCCCTTGCTGAATAAAACTATTAATATCTTTAAAAAAACAAAAACAATCTTGACCCCAATCTTTTGAACAGCAGTGTAAATATAACAAAGAGTGAAAAATTTAAGGGGGTCTGAATACTTTCCGTACCCACTGTATATAGTGAAGTGACATGTGGCCAAGTATGGTAACCCATACTCGGAATTTGTGCTCTGCATTTAACCCATCCAAGTGCACACACACAATAGTGAACACAGTGGGCAGCCATATTGCTGCAGCACCCAGGGAGCAGTTAGGGGTTCGGTGCCTTGCTCAAGGGCACCTCAGTCGTGGTATTGAAGGTGGAAGAGAGCGCTGGTTATTCACTCCCCCCACCGACAATTCCTGCCGGACCAGAGACTCGAACCCGCAACCTTTGGGTTACAAGTCCGACTCTCTAACCATTAGGCCCACGAGTGCCTCCTATGCTGCCAGCAAAGGACAGAATGCTGAATTTTTCAGACAGAGCCATGCTTAAACCATACACAGCTCTAGCTATGTGCACAGATCAGGCCTCTCTCATTCACTCAAATTTACACAATTGAAATTTAAAAAGCACACAAACACACAGACTGTTGGTGAGTTTTGTCCTAAAAGTCACGAGTAAATGAGTTTTTAATCAGAGCATTTGCTGAGATTTACAAATGTAATAAGCCACAAGGTTAAAAGGTCTTGTCTGGCATGTCAGAATGAATGGGTACACCATCAGTCTTGCAGCTTATAGCTTTTAAAAAACAACAACAAGATCATCCATAACAGTAACAATAAAGGATTTATAACAATAAATCTCCACCAAGTGATGCAGAGAAATAACCTAAACAAAAAATCAGCTCATTATAAAAACCCACATTACATGAAATGTAGAAATCATCATTTTGATGTAGCTAAACAGACATGGACACACAGAACAAGCCACCAATAAACCAATAACACCAGGGAGCTGGGAAAAAAATCAGTGCTAACATTATAAAACAAAATGGTTAAAATGACCTTACATGTTGTCATATTATTAAGAATAATTGGTTTAAGACTGCATGTAAACGCACTCAATGAATAACCTAAAGAAAATATAATCGCATGTCCTTTGCGACTTGCACTAGTCTGCTGACCTTCAAGAAACAAGCAGACACTTCTTAATAAATAAAGAGATCTGCATTTAAAGCACAAGGCTATTCTGATTCAGCTTTAAATTTGTAATGCTGGCAAACTGGAGGAGGAGGCAAATTGAAGAAGTGGTTGAGAGATTATTATTATCACCGTATCTTGCTAATACGGGTGCGAGAGGGGCTGTGTTTTCCCCAACACAAACTGCCTGAGCAGATGGCATGAAGCGCAAAGCTGCTTACTGGCAGAGAGCCGAGGTGTAGCCACACATGGCTCAGAGCTGGACTCGGCCATGCTAAACTGCTGGAACTGTGGATACATGACACTCAGAAGCACCATAACAACTGAATGGGCTTTATCTACTCAATCAGTCATGGTCCTCATGTTGTTTTTGGCATAAACGTTCCCTAAACATTACATAAATGACATTATGTATTAACACCAACCACAAATGTAAAAAAAACAATCAGTTGCGCCGAGCTGTCTATTCAAGACATCAGGTGGTATACATTTATCTGCCCTGTTGGAGTTCATCAAACTCTTTCCAGAGACTCATCTTGACAGCCATAATACCTTATAAAAGTAAGAAAAAAAGTATGATGCTATTTTATTCTCGTTTCGTCACTGTATAATGCATATTAAAGAAAAGTTTATAAGCGCTGCGCTGCTTTGTTTACAGCTGTAACCAAGGAAACGCTCTATCACCGCTGTTCCATAAGCGCCACCTACTGTTAGAGAATGAATTTACACCTCATTCATCCCGTCTGCTGTTTTTGTTTTGTTTGGATACGTTTTATATTATATAGTTTCACAAATCTAAAGTCAGACCATTCTAAATAACATACAATTCGATTTGAATCAAAAACGGCTCATGTGGGCATGTATGCAGCATCTTTGTTTGGATTGTGATTAAAATGCAGAGGTTGCCCCTAATTTTAAATGGAAAGCACAGGCAAAGTCTTAGTTTGTTTATATGAAGACATTTATTTTATTGGTAATAGTTATTTATTTGATTTGGGTTTTGTTTTAAAATTTTAATTTAGTTTTGTTATTTGACATATTTCAATTTCACAAAGAAATGTGCAGCATTTTGTTTGAGAAATAATAAAAGGGCACATTTCATTTATAATTTGTCTTAAATCTCATTTTGTTATAAAAAAAAAAACTAGGGATGGATGATATTATAGGAACGTTATCGAAATCAGCCAATAATGGCTTAAAATGCAAATATCGGCATCGGTTCAATATGAAAAATTATGCCGATATGCCTTGCAGATAAGACAAGTAACTCACACGTGCTCAGGGTATGATAGAGATAAGATCACGTTAGCAGTGTGGTCATTCTTGAAGCGAACTTTTGCCTGAACAGTGATTGCATTCACAATTTTGAGCATTTCATTTGAGAATACGAGCACAGAACGAGGCATCCAGTGTGCGATAGAGTCAACAGTTACTAGCGCGTGCAGCAGTAGCAGTGGCAGCCTCCCCCGGGTCCTAATGCCCATCCGGCATTTTATTTACTTTCTTATTTACTGTTGGCCTACTTAAAATAAAATGAAAGTAAAATACACAAATAACATTAAGATTGTGTTTCTGATTAAATAAAGCAGTAATTGATGTCATAAAATCACGAGTATGATTTGATTTAAAGGTCAGAAAGTATAGCTTACATGAATAAAAATCACAAACAAGAAACTTGTAAATTAAATAATTTTATATATACAGATTTAATTAATGTGTAATGCTTTTTTTTTTCAAACGGATTATGAAAACGTAAATACAAGGAGCGCTAAAAGATTTTCAGAATTTGTACAACTCTTTGGCTTTAGACCATCTACAATTGTTAAATAATCAAATAAAATGTAAAGGATTGCTTTATAGTTATTTTCAAATCTTTCAATGTACTCTCATTATAAAAGAACTTCATTGCTTATTTAATTCTCAAAAGTAAGTTTTTGTTAAAAACGAACCAAAATGAAAAATTATTTGTTTATAATCTCTGCACAGGAGAGACTTGGTGTTGTTTCCAAACAAAAGGAAATATATCGGTATCTGCATCGGCTATTGACCAAAATAAGTTGAAAATGATCGGCATATCGGATATTGGCAAAAATCCAATAGCGTGCATCCCTAAAAAAAAACTTGAGAAAATTGTGTCGTGAAACGTATCGCATGGTCAGTTCAGTGAATCGTTACATTCCTTCATTTTATGTAATT